TCTTCCATGTCGGTGCCCTTGTCAACAGCATTCCAGAGCCGTCGTGCTCTGAGCTTGACCTTCATGGTCACCACTCTCCATAGTTAGTGCGAGTCAGCGTCGGCCAAGTGGTGCCGCTGACCTTCCGCACCATGTGGACAACTACCTCCGGTAGTGGCTAGGCAGCTATGACAGTGCCACTGCCATCGCCCAACTCCAAACCGCCTGTCCTCGCCATCGGTTAGAATGACGACGGCGCTTGTACGGCTCCGATACCACTTGTTGGCCCACGGGATCACCGTCTGACGATAGTGAACTAGTCTCTAGACCACTAGTCTCCCAGACCACTAGTCTTCCAGACCAGATCACTAGTCTCCCAAACCACTAGTCTTCCAAACCAGACCACTAGTCTTCCAGACCAGACCACTAGTCTCCCAAACCACTAGTCTTCCAAACCAGACCACTAGTCTTCCAGACCACTATACCGGTTGTGTCCATACCCACACACTACGGATCGAGCTAGAAGAAGAAGGGAGAACAGAGCAAGCACGCACAATACAAGACAATAACGTTGGCCGAGGCCCTGTCTGTGTGATGGCAAATCTGAGCTCTCTTTACTGAGTTGCCTTGGTGCCCTATTTATACAACTCTATCTATCTAACTAAAGTACAGCGCACATGTCATTAATAATGATAACTAGATAAGTATATGTAGCTGACTTTGCGCCGGCCACTTTGCATGTGCCTCTGATGCCAGGTGAGCCGAGCTGGCCTTTTTACACTGCGCTCTTGTATCACAAAAGGGGGCAAAGTCGGCGCCGTCTTCCCTTCTTTGTGTTCACACACACGAGAATAAATAAAGTCAATAAATATTTATTTCAAGCCGCATTCCCTGTCTTTGTGTTCACACAAGGTGGCAGTAGATTAGCTAACACTCACCACCATGCGACAGTCAAGTAGTCAACCACAAGGGGCAAGAAGGGGGCGGCGGGCTGGTGGTGGACGCAGTGCGTGAGCTTGGGGCGGCGGGTGAGCGGAGGCCTCGGTGGGGGCGGCCGGCGGGCGAGCGGCCTGTGGGCGGAGGGACGTGGTGAGGGCGGCGAGCAAGCGGCGGCCGAGTGCGCCGTGACAATAGCAGGGGAGAGCGCGCGCGGCGGCGTTCGAGCGAGTGGGGGGGCGCGGATCTGAGGCGGCGGGGGGCGAGCCGATGAGTGAGGGCAAAAATAATGTGCGCCGCGGCGGGCTGTGAAAAAATTAGGTCTGACAAGTGGGCTCTCTTAAAAATTAGGCGCCACCTGGGCCAGCCAGCGCGCCAGTGCCCAATTCATATATAACTACCGACTGCTAGACCCAAATATCACTTTTTAACGAACGACCATTGAACGGTAAAACAAAATAATAATAACGACCAATAGTTTGTTGCAAAAATAAGATATAACGACTGACCAACGTTACTAATCTTTAACGTCCGACCTTCCAACGCTATTTCGATACTTTTATGACCCTCGTGTGATGTTAATTTTGGGTTGTGGTACAGTGAATCCTGAGAATACCTGGGAATCGTTGTGTAACCCAAACTCTGCACAGACCTGCGATAAATATTTATTTCGGCTTGCGAACAAAATAATATACACCTTTATTGATTTTGCATACCTCTCTCTACTTTTATATATAAGTTTCTAGAAACATATATATTGCATTAGAAAATTTGAATTTTACAACATAATTGTATATTAAGGTTTTGTACTACTTAAGTGTTGCACCCCCTCGTTTCAGCTCTAGCTTCGCCACTGGAGATACGCCAGGGGAATTTATATCAATGGTTTTGTTTATAGTTTGGACTAAATATAAATATTTACGCTACTTCAATTTAATCTACAAACTACAAATCCGATCTAAGTACAGATCCGGATCTGTGTTAGAGTCAATATATATGGAGACACCGTGGCACTTCGGTTCGCTCTAGCTCTAGCTTGGAGCTGATTGAGCTTCATGAGTCACAAACATGCACACATGCATGTCTGGCCGGGTAAGTACTACTAATCTGCAGGTGAGGCTGTCTGGATACTAGGTTAGTTTGGTCCTTAAGAAAGCTAGGAAGAAAATGAATTGAACTATCTACGTGTCACTATGTAAAAAAGCACATCACAGACGTGCCTTTAGAGACGTCATAGACGTGTTTCGGTGCATCTGTAATAACGTGTCTGTAGTAATGTCTTATTACAGACGTGTCAAAAAGCGTCTGTAATAAGATAATACTACAGACGCGTATTATCAGAACGCGTCTGTGATAGGAGTCCTCACAACCCGTATTGCCAAAACACGTCCGTGACTACCCCTTATCACAGACGCGCAGAACCAACAGGCGTCTGCGATGACCCCTTATCACAGACGCGCATAACCAACGTGCGTCTGTGATAATGAATTGAAAACAAAAAACAAAAATTCCAATCCCAGGATCTTATATACATCGCACATGATACTGTACAATTTGTTATTACATCATATTATACAATTCATCATATAGTACAACCAAGTCATACAAGAATCAACTTCACTATGCTACATGAGAAACTTGAACTAAGATAAGAAGCTCATGTAACTAATATTCAAGCCATTACAGTGCTCCTAAGTCTTAAACAGGAAAGTGTCATTTACAAAATGATCATTTATAGAAAGAAGCAAAGAGAAGGGGACAAATACATGACAAAAGTGTCATTTGCTAAAAAGCTGCACACTGAGCAATGCAGCATGAAGTTATAGGCGACAAAAGAAGAAACCATTTCAACAAAAAATAGAAAAGACAGTAATCTATTACCAACATTACCTGCGTCTTTCTTGATTGTCAATGAAGTCATTAGAGATTTTCAGCATATCCCATGCAACAGCTTTCTGAAAAAATTGATCATAAGAACCCCCAGTCCCCAGGAACTATGACATTTTGATATGCTAATTTTTCATTCATATTATCAATAGTGTGTGGGTGTAGGTGTAATAAGCCTGCATGTGAATCACGTGGTGCTTGCTGGAGGAGTTGGAATCCCATTGGCCATTGCAAGGATTCCTGTGGTTTCGAAAGATCCAGCTACAAGAGGACATGCACGTGATCGTTTGTCTGTGCAGTAATAGTAGCTGTCTGGGTTATATTAGCTGTGTGTGCCATCATATTAGTAAGATGAAGAATGAAAACGAACATGATCGGTCGGAATAAACTGTCTTTTTTTTATTTTATGTTTTGGTAAATGGAATCAAAATAAAAAAGGCTGGAAACGAGAAGGAAAAGAAAATTGGACTCACCGAAAATCGAAAATGGATCATTCGAACAAAAAAACTTAACGCGAGAAGGATGAGAGTAAGAAACGAGAGATAGAAGAGCCACATGCATGCAATCATCAGTGGCGGAGGGAGGGGAGAAGGGCGCACATATTTCATCATGTGTGGTTATTGTTGGTATGCCAAGACACCCCTATAGGCTGTATGGTCAAATTCTGGTTCTGCCCCTATACATGCAATGCAGTGCAGTATCATCTATCTAAATATCTAATCACTTTCCACTTTAGTAGCAGACGTTGATGAATGTGAAGATACTTGGTCAGTCGTTCATGCACAACCATTTTAGTTGTCAGTCCGGGTCGACTCTCCAAGCCTAGACGCCGTGATGTTTTGCGTCCAGATCGACGCTAAGGTTAAGGACTCGTGACTCGCACCATGTAATGTCCATGTAGGTAGTCTCGGTGCCAAAGCGTATGGCACCGATCGAGATATAACCTGGAGTTATTTGCCTTGGCGTGGAGCTCGGGTTGATTTTTGTGAATGTTTTTTCAAAGGTTCTAAATGTACTAGTTCATATTTATCCGTTTTTGTGTACTAGTTCATTCTACTCCTGCTTCTATTTCCGGTGTCCCGCTCCCGTTTTGTGGTTAGATATCAGCGGTCTCGGTCACATTTTGGTTCGTATTATCTGTTTTCATATACTAGTTTATTCTATTTGTGCTCCTGCTTCCGGTTGTCCCGCTTTTTCGTTTTCCGGTGATGCCCGGTTCGCTGATCGATGCTGGTGTCGGTATTGGTTTGGGTTGGCTGGTACTGGTTTTTTTGAGAGAAAAACACTGTTGGCTGGTTGAATAAGTCTGGCTGAAACCACAAGCGAACATGGTAGATAAATCCCTAACCATGTACAGTACTATCCTATCCTACAAATCGAACCGCCATATGCACGCAGCTAAGCTCGATTTGTACGACCATAACATCAGTTCGTCCCCAAAACCGTGTAAGAAAAAAGACGTTTTTTTCCCTCGGCTATTATATGACATAATAAGCTATAGTGTCACTGTTTGAGTCACTCCCTACCTGAAAACAGTATGTAGCAACGGTTTTTTTAGGGTGGCTGGCATTGGAGCAATGCCTCTCTAAGTGTGATGTGCTGGAGAGAAAAGAAAAAAAATTTCAGCTCGCGATCAGTACTCACCAGACCTGCCGCCCTTTACTTAAATGGCATAGTAGAGACGTCGATCTTTACCGATATCTGAGCCGCCCCCTACAAATACGTCAATTTGTAGAGACGGTTGGTATGCAGAGGCGGCTATTACTAGCCGCTCCTGCTATGTCTATTTGTAGGACGGCTGAATCACCAACCACCCTGCTGATGGGCCACGTCACCCGAAATGGTTCAGCCATTCGATTCCAACATCAACGGTGGAGGCTTACCCACCGACACTAATGTGCATAGGCCCAAAATATCTTCTCACCCCCCTCCTCCAGCACCTTCTCGTCTTCCCCTGAGCCCAGCTTCCACGTACGACGCGCGCCGCCTCTTCCTCCTCCGTCTCAGCTCTCTCCTTCCTCTCTGTCTCTCTCTTTCTCCCCAGGCGACGACAGCTCCTCGGAGGCCGCGTCGGCTTCCTCTCTCCCTTTTTTCACCTCCACCTGGGCCACCGGCTCCCGGCGCAGTGGCGCGCGGCGACCTAGGGTTTCGCCTCCGCGCCACCGGCCGTCCAGGATGGGGCGAGCCCGACGCGGACGATGGCGGCATACCCGTGCGACGGTCCCGGCGTAGGTGCCGCCCACGACGAAGGCCACGCCTACGCAGCCAGGGTTCCGCTGCCGCAGCGCCGGCGCCGGCTCATCCCCTCCTCCCCTCTGTCCCGCGGGACAGAAGCCCAGCCACCAGGTACGGATGGCTATGGCCACTTCCCCAACCATATTTGTGCTTCATTTTTAGCGTTTAGTTTGCTAGATTCAGAGATTGATTTCTTCAAAATTGTTACCCGGTGAACGTGCAGTTGTTTTAGATTTGCCTGGTCATTATGAGATATTTCTTCTGCAGATTATCGCCTTGTTTGCTCCCCTAAATCTGAATCTTGTTTTCTGAATGTTTCATGCTAAGCGATCAACGCCGTCGACGCTGGCAAGGCGACCTAGACCACCATCTCACCGAAGAACACATGTGCGACTCCCCACGCTGACCAAGTAGCCTTCTTTTCCCGCAGCACCAACCTCTCCTACGCTGCTGCCCCCTTGCAGGTTCATAATTGCCTTTCTTCTCCGTGTCTACCGCATCGTTATCCTCTTCCCGAAGCAAACCTGTGGTGTTCAACTACATAGTACCAAGTTGTGTATTTAACGCCTCTCTTTGACAATTGATAATTGTGTTCTAGGCCCTTCTGCTCATGTTCAAGGAGGCCACCTACACGAAGGCTCATATACCATGCTTCCTGAGGACGCCTGTCTAAAGGTATGTTTTTTGAGCATGCTTCAGCCTTTCGATAAAATGAAGATGAAGACAACTGCACATGTGCTCCTTAAACATGAAATTGGGAAAAATATATATTGCTACTATTTGATGGTGAAGTCCTTCAAATTAGTCTACTGGAGTCATAGGATAAATCAGTCAAATCAAGCTGCTGGAAACATGTTTCCTCAAAAAAAAAAAAAACTGCTGGAATCATGCTATTTCTGTTATAATGAGAGAATGGGTTGTTTTAAGCTTCTCATATTTCATTTCTTTTAAACCACATGTTTGTGCTGTATCTTTGTAATAAAGATATCGGAAGTGGTCTTTTAAACAACGTGTTTGTGCTACAAGGTGATTTATTTGCTCTACATTATTAGCTAAGTACTGCTCCATTTTTTTTTTGTCCATGGGAATGAACCAGGAACCAATTCTAAATACGTTTGCCATGTACAGTCCTGGGTAGCGTCAAGAACACCATGCAATTCTAAGCTATTTTTAAATGCTCTATTGGTATATGGTTGTTTCCTAAAAAAAATGTTATGCTTCAACTGCTCGTTCGGTTAAAATCTTGCTTAGGCGCTTCTAACGGTTGCTTGCTTCTTACCAGATGTGGTGCAGGAGAATGACCTACTTTGCGTCGGACATCACTTAGCAGTCAGAAACATTGTTGCTCTTCAATCTTATCCTGTGAAAGACCTGTGGTTTAAGAGTGAGTCTAAACGATTTGATGTGTGCCTCTTCCTTTCTTCATGGTAATTCTTCGGTTTATTGCCTGCTGATCATGTGCTTTCCTAGCTTCAGTTGAGTTTTGATTTGCCCTAACTTGAACCTTCACATTGCAGCTCCAGTTCAAACAACTATGCTCCTGTTGCTACGTATGTGCACTCCATTTTGCTGCAATATGTAGACTCTAGATGGCCTGAAATGTTATGTTGGTAACTTCAGTTCCTCTGTAATTTTTTTCAAAAAAACTGATTTACTGTGTTTGTAACATTTTCACAGGTCGATCTGGATCCAAATTTTGGATTCTCAATTATTCATACTTACTATGTCGTTTGCTTATATATAAGTTGCAGCAGCAATACAGTGCTTCATGATGTCTTTTACTTTTACCCGTTAGCTATTACTTGAGCCCTTACCTCTTTTACAGTTTGTTTTAACAATTGGTAGTTTTTATTGTGATTTATGAAAGGACAAGTGCTACATCACCTCAGCAGATTCCATTCTACCACCAGAATTATCTCTATATTTTTTTAGTACCACTAAGCTAAGATTGGTTGCTATGTTGTTTGCCTGTATATAGGTTGCAGTATCAATGCAGTGCTTCATGGAGTCTTTTGCTTTCGCTTGTTATATAATGCTCTTGTGCTTGTGGTCAGATTTGAATTATATATGCATATATATATATGTTCCGGTCGAATTTGAATTGTAAATTTGAATTTTTTTTTACGGAAAAATGTACTGTAGGGGCGGTTCTAGATTGAACCGCCCCTACAAACAGGTATTATAGGGTCGGCTGGTACTACGGCCGCCCCTACAAATCGATTTTTGTAGAGGCGGCTGGTGTTACCAGCCGTCCTTATAAATCGATTTGTAGGGGTGGCTGAAAACACCAGCCGCCCCTACAAATCGTTTTCAGCCGCCCCTACAAATCGATTTGTAGGGGCGGTCTGGGAACCGTCCCTACAAATGCATGATTTGTAGAGACGGTATGGTAGGGGCGGCTGGCTGAGCCGCCTCTACAAACCATCGCCAGCCGCCCCTACAAATGCTTATTGTAGTAGTGAGTGCATGTTCTGGCTATGGCACCTTCGTTACATGAGAAGAACAAGCCGCCTTGGATCAGGGGAACATTCGTCTATCTGATGGTGGTCAACTTTGGATTTTGTAAGATTTTATTATATATATTTGGAGATTGGCAAATTATATGGATCATAGGTTATATAGTATCTCCGAACAATTTTTTTTTATTTTTTTGGATTTAGTTATAGTGCTTCTGTCCCTGAATAAATAGATTCCTAGAGTTGTCTTAAGTCAAACTTTTTAAACTTTGACCGAATTTCTAGAAAAAACACTAAGATTTATGGTATCAAATTAGTATCATTAGATTTATTATAGAATATATTTTTATGAGATACTTATTTTATGTCATAGATGTTGTTACTCTTTTCTATAAAGTTAGTCAAACTTTAAAAAAGTTTAACTGTCACGGATTCTAAGAATTGATTTATTTGGGGACGGAGGAAGTATATATTCTATAGCATGCATCTTACAACATTTTACATATAGTGGGATCATCTTTCCTAGAATCCTTGGGAAGTTTTTGATAAGAACACAATTATTTTAGGAAACATGATCCCACTTAGGGCTGGACAAAATACTACTCCTTTTAATTCTATTAGTCGATTATATAAGATTGTTTTTTTTAAGGAAACATGAGGGATCGGAGGACGATTCCTACTGAAATACATTAAAACCAACAGAAAGAATACAAGCCAAGCCAAACAAGAAAGATTGTATAAGATTGTTATCTGAAAATTCTTTTAAAAAAACTCGGGGACATGTATAGGCTAAAATCTTATTATGTAGGTTTCATAGTATGGTTAATTGGTTATAGAGCCTAACTAAACTGCATGCATGATCATGATGATGTTGTTTCCTTCTCTAGATCCTTTTTATTTATTACATGTCAAGACAACAAAATTCTTAGTTGACAATCATTTAATGTTCATGATATTGCAAAGCCTGACAACCAAATGATTTCGTGTCTGTCATCTTGTGGCAGGATTCTCCGAAAGTCCGAAACCCCTACAATAATGGGATTCCAACTCCTGGGAGCACCACGTTTCATGCTGGCTTGCGCACCCAGCAGGCTGCCCACAGTAGATGGTAGTGACTTGTGTTTGGATTTCGCCAGAAGGTCATTAGACATGACGCGTGGTGGCTGAACGCATTGCTGCGAAGGGACATGATACACGCATGTGTCCACGTTCTTTAGCCTCGAGTCACCAGATGTGTATTCACATCACAGACCATTTCAGACACGCAATGTTAACGTTTAACGCGTGTTTCCACACACACACAAGTACTAATTACTGTTTAGACAGTTCACTAATCTGCTTTTTAGCAAACACTCATTTCTGGCATAGTGAGTTGTTTTTCTGCCCTCACACCAAGTTGAGATACCACACAAAGTACTTCCTCCATCCCTAAATATCTCTCTCCATACATGAAGTTTTGGTGAAGCTGTTTTAAGTTTAAAACAGCTAGATTTGTTGAAAATATTAATAAAAATATAGCTTTATATATTTAAATAAATTTATTATAAAACGCAGTAGGTTCAACCCTCCCTCATCTCATTATATTAATTATGCATATCATAAATATTAATATTTTGCTGGCCAGCGCCCAGCATGCTGCCTAGTCAAAGTGACTTGTTTCTCCGCTGAAGGTCATTAGTGACGCGTGGTGGCTGAACGCATTGCTGCGAAGGGACATTGTGACACGTTATTTAGGGACGCAATGTAAGTGAGGAGTTTCCCATCACTAATTACTGATAGACACACCACTAATCAAGGCATAGTGAGTGTCTGCCCGCACACCAAAGTACCACACACCTACTTCCTCCATCCCTAAATATTTATCGCCATTTGTATATATTTATTCAAACTTAAAATTAGTTGAAATAAATTTATTAAAAAAATAGGTTCAACAATCTATCTAATTACAAATTATCCTAAGAACTTTTTTTAATCTTCCGATGTTGTTTCTCTCATGAAAATGAAATTTTTAGTCATTTCAAGTTTGAATATTTCAAAAACTTAGTACTTGCATATATATCTCAACTTTTGTACATAGATATGGCAAGTTTTAAAATATTTTAAACGATCAAAAATATGTTTTTAAAATTGGTTTTCACATTTCCACCCACTGGCAGTATGTGTAGGCCATCCTGGGCGATGGCCCCTGCTTGCTCCATGCAAATTTCTAGAGACTCAGCCACTAGTCAACGTGCTTAGTAAAAATTTAGTTGATCTACTAGTCTACTATACGCATATACATCTCTCACGTCTCTCAATTCAACTCTGCTCCCACTGACCGTCATAAGGTTAATTAGCTGCTTGTTCGCGGCTCCTCTACGAAATGGCCCTCTCTTGGTTTAGATGCAAGCTCCGCCGCTGTTTCCACCTAATATGCAGTTTGTACTATATTTTTGTCAGTAGTATCTAGCTGATCGAGCCTCATCATCGCGATTGCCGGTCGGCGAATTGGCCGGGACAGCGGGAAGCATTACGTCTGTACGCGCGAGCCAGTGAAGAACTGGCGATTTGTCACTGGTGTATGGGGCTTATCTTGCCCCTGTAGTGTCCCCACGGCCCACCAGATTGGGGCATCCCACATGCTGGACACTGTGCCATTCGTCGCCGCCCATTGAACCAGTGCGGCAGTGCCCTATGCCGCTATGCGACTGCCGGAGTGGCAGGGCCATGGGTTCTCGTGTCCCTCGTCTGCTTTTGATTAATTCTTAATCAAGGACTCGTGCTTATGCCGACTAAGCTGAAAACAGGATGATGAAACAGGACCATCCCGGCCGGATGAATATAGGATACCGCAAACATGGACTAAGCTGAAAACACACAAGTTTTAACATTTAATTTCAAAGTTATCTGTAAGTGAAAGTTGCTAAAAAGATAATGCATCATACGAACCGTGGACAACCTTTTCATACCATTTTCATGTGTTATTAAATCCCTTACCATTCATGTGAATAATTATTAGTGGCCAAAGTGGTAAACCTTTTTTTCTAAAAAAAATGGCTCTATTTGGGAATGAATGAATGAAGTGATAAGTAACCTTTAAGCGAACTAAACACACAGACACACAAATTGACAGATTTCGGCCTCATTTAAATGTGGAATGATAACCGTTTCCTGGAAAATTTATCATGCTTTCCAACATACAGCCCTTTCTTTTTCCAAGTAGACTTGTTTAGAAACGACAGTGCTTGTGGCAGGGTACAAGTACAATTACTATTCAACCTCTGTTCGCTAACACGCTTCCATAACAAACTGAAACATCACAAAAAAGAATTAACATTGTCTTGGAAAGCGATTACAGAACCTGCCAACTAAGCATGTATACTACCTCTGTTAAAACTTCTTTTTATAGATTTAATGAAATTTAAAAATTGTTTGGCTCATAATATATAAAAACAGAATAATTGCATTGTTTTTACACCAAGCTAGGGAGTAGCAAATATACAGGGCACATTTGAGTGGCTTATTCTAATCCTTGGACGTTTCATTCAGAAATATAAATACTCTCTCCGGTCCAAAAGAAAGTGTCGTTTTTATATATAATCCGGGACAAACATCTATCTAAATTTATGACAAAAATGACACTTTTTTGGGTGGTTTTAGGACGGAGGGAGAGTGTTTTTCACATTGGCCGGCCTCACAGGTCACAGCAAATTGCATATTCACACGCACACAGGAATAGAGACGACTGAAGGACTGAAGGTGATGTATGCCTGTATAGAAGACTGAATACCTGCTGCAGCTAGCGACAGGATATTGACTGCATGCAGCAGCTTGATGCCTGCTTCATTCAGAAGCTGCATGCAACACCCCAGCAACACAGCACAGGGTATTATTTAGGCCTCTGGTCTTATTTAGGCCTAGTTTGGATGCGCATGTATTTATATCAATCTACATGGGTTGAAGTGGATTAGAATGAAATTAAACTAAATTCCATTCTAATCCACTTCAACACATGATGGATTGAAGTGGATACACATATCCAAACAAGGCCTTAATTAGAACAGGAAGCAGTGCCCTAGCATGATGCACCCACTGCACACTTTGGCATATGTACCTAGACGTGTGTGTATTGTGTCCTCGTCCATCCGACTTATGTTAGTATATGCTTAAAAGGAGAGAACAATAAGAAAGTGGCATTTTACTAGAGAACAAACTGCACCAAATTATGAATTTGGCACTTATATATGCATCGTACAATTAATTGAGGACGATGAAATGATTAACTAGTTGGGTGGCCTGTCCCCTTCCA